CCTGTTACCTGTTTCTCCTCCTTGCTTCTGATGTTTTAGTTTTGTTCTGGTATTGTGTTCAGGAATTGTTTTCTGATTGGTAATAAGTTTATTCGTTCAAGAGTTGTTTTTGGGTTTCACGTGATGTTGTCAACATCGTTTATTTTCAAAAGGATGTAGAACCAGTCGCCCTGTAAAGTATGATGACACAAGACAACTACCACGTCATATCATTGCTGAGGTTTGGTTCTCCAAGAATGATGTTTGATCTTCCAGATATTTCTCGATGGTCTGTAAATAATTAAATATGGGCCAGGTAACTAAGTGATTGACAGCATGAGCATCGATCGACGCCATCGGGGCAGCATAATGACATTCAATCAGCCAGATCAAAGTGCAGCCACCTAATCCACAATGGTGACCTTTTACGGAATGCAGCATACTGGGGATCTATGTTTCTCTGCAATCCCTACCGGAGCACTGCCCGTCGATCGGGAAGCCCAGTTGCTGAAGCAAATTAAATAAATAAATTTTTAAAAATTGTATAAAGCCTATTCCTGGTGTCCCCCTCTGGAATATTGCGTAAAACTAGTCACTCACTTCGGGATCACTGTGTGTAACGCGAACATACTAATGTTAATAATTGTTTGTTTGTTTGTTTGTTTGTTTGTTCAACGCCGCACTTAGACTAACATTTAGTCTCTGAAATCTTATATTACACAATATCCTTCTTGACTCTAAAAATTAAAAAAATGTCCCTATGCTGATTTCAGAATAGAGCTAGCTTGAACTGGCTAGACGTGCTTTTGTATGCATTTCTAGATAAAAAAAATTCATAAAATAAATATATTCCACGGTCATTGTGCAGGACTACGCCGCACTCAGCAATATTCCAGCTATATGACGGCGGTCTGTAAATTATCGAGTCTGGACCAGACAATTCAGCGATTGACATCATGAGCATCGATCCATGCAATTGGGATACGATGACATGCATCAACCAAGTCAGCGAGGCTGACCACCCGATCCCTTTAATCACCTCATACGACATACATAGTCGCCTTTTACGGCAAGCGTGGGTTGCTGAAGACCTATTCTACCCCGGATCTTCACAGGTCTAACTATGTTTAAACCGCACGATGTGGGCATTTGTGTTTTTAATGAATATACATACACCCTGCCATCTACCTGCACAATGGTCACATAGCTCGCACTGGGTGCAAGGTTAGGATATAGTTCATAACGATACCTCCACCTACAGGGTGGCCACGTGCTGGAATCCATCTCCAGTGTACAATCCAGAGAATGTGTAGAACAATTCCCCCAAGGGGATATATGAGTATTGCTCCTCATCAAGCCCTTCCCATGCACTATGTCTGAGACAGAAACGGCAACGGCTATCTTACAATATCTCCATAGAAGACTGTTATCACAAACAGACCCCTATTTCCAGTCGCTCACAATCTGCGTCGTAATTGACGCTTGAAACTGAAACCGATTTACCGGAAGCTGAGAACGTGAGCGTGCTTTGTTTTTCTTTTTCTGTTTATTTTATCACATAGCTGAAGTTATTCCTCCGATTGATGCATTCATAAAGTAAAATTACTCACAGGTTAGGTTATGGAATGCCGTGGCGCGGAACACAGGTTGATTCGAAGGGATTCCCAAGGGGAACACGTGTCGATATCAGCCCACAATGATTACAACACATTCATGCCGAGGTCGGCTGTGGTCTGACAACTTCCTATTAAGATAACGCCTTCAAATAGCATTATGATGTATAATTAGCACACAACATGGGTAACGAACATGTGTCGCTTGGAACTTTGATGTATTTCAAGCAACGCTTTTGATCCGACACTTAAGAATTAGATTGTAGTCGACCTTTTTAATCCTAGATTGTGGGCGAATCTGTTTGAAGTCTTCATTATTGCAAGGTTTTGAAGTCAAGGAACATGGTCCACTTTGTTTTAAGTCCATATCGTGGTCCAACAAAAAAATGTATTTACCAAAGGCATACTTGTCTTGGTCCAAGCCGAGTGAGTTGTGAGTGAGTGAGTGAGTGAGTGAGTGAGTGACCTATAAATATCCAAGTCTGAGCCACAAAAACCAGTGATTGATATGATCACCGCCCACGCCATCTTGGTCCGAGTAAGTGAATGAGTGAGCGAGTGTGTGGATGGGTGAGTGAGTGAGTGAGTGAGTGAGTGAGTGAGTGAGTTGTTTAACGCCGCAGTCAGCAAATTCTCCGGTTTATTGCGGTGGTTTGTAAATACGATGACGCGCAGTCACCAAGTCATCGAGTCTGACCATCCATGTTATTTGCCGTATACGAGCAGCATAGGTTACTGGGGTCAGCCGTAGCCCATCACTTTGGCTGACCAGTAGTAACAGTAGCCTGCAACCTCGGGGTGTCGCGGTACTTGTCATGTACGCTAAACGGAACAAAATGCACTCACTAACCTTTATGATTATTCCTGTTCTCTATATCAGATGTCATTTATGTTATCTAACAATGCATATTTTTCTGATAAAAGTTCATTATTTACATAAGAAGCTCCGAGTAAAAGCCGGGCCTCGCGCTCAGTTTGACAAGGGAGAGAACTCCATCGTATCGCGGTACAGAGAAAAGTTGCGTATGGAGGTCCGAATTGGACAAAAAGGGGATATAATTCTACAAACCACTAAGTATGATCATGCCGGACATCAGTGATTTGTCCAGACAAGTACAGAGACAGCACAAGTACAATTCTAAATGTGTTATAAGTAATAGGTATTCGATGCATATTTACCGAAAAGTAAGAGAAAATATTTTTAAAATCAACAACAAAATATCAGAAATGATATTCTAAGATTGTTTTTAAAAAAATTGGATGACAATAATTTGTCACAAAATGGAAAAATGTTAAAAGTCAACAATAAATATAAAAAGCACTCCTAGTATGCCCAAAAGTATGTATTTATCTTTGGGCTACTAGTGAAGAACCTATTTCAAAGTTTGGAATTATGGCCCTTGTGATCTCCCAATAGATTCTGGGCACAGAGCGGGGAAAAATGTGCGGGCTACGTAACTTCCCTTCCCTTAGTAGTCGCCATGAATATGCAGATGATCTAGTTCAGGTCGATAGAGAAAGTTTACTTGGGGAACTGCGGTGTATATCGTTGGCCATTGATAGATGGAGGTAAGGCAATATTAAAAAGATTCCAGAAGTAAGTATCAACGCATACGATGAATGCCGCGGTACCACAGGATCCGAGTATACATGATGACATTGTTGCAAAGCTTGTAAACAGTTTAATAGTTTAATAGGCTAATAGTTTAAATATCTCAATTCGCTGACCAGAGTTGCATCCCTTGGGCATGTCATGGTTTTGTGGGGGACGTCAATGTGTTGTTGAGGATGTGGCTATTGATCGTCTCCAAAAACATGTTCCTTTAAAAACACTCCAATCAGTAGATTGGAACTACTCTCCGTGAAACATTGATACATGTTCATATGAAAAGGTCGTATTTGCTTCAATTGGCTACAGCCCTGAAGAGGTTTATTTGTTTTTCCTTCCCACTTTTTCCTGTATACTCCTACCATTTTGTAATATACAGTGGAGTATGTGAGTACATAAGTCCCCACCACAGGTCGACATTGGGGGCAAACACTTTCAACCCATATCTCTATAACACAAGATAGAGTAATAATTAAGCTAAATTTAGACAGTTGGGTATAGTCGTCTCCGTGTCAACGTAATTGTGTTTCACTACTTCATAATTGTGAAAATGCAAGGAAATATGTGGATTTTTCCACCATTTCCCACTGTCTTAAAACAAAAGTTCAAAAGAACACAGATTAGGCCATATACAGATCAACTAAAACGTGATACATATTTCTGACAATGTGTTTGTTTTGATATAAAATTTAAAACTATGTAATCAGTTTCACAGAATGATGTATATTCCCCTTATTGTTTCACCTGAGACTTAACGCACACATTTGCAACCTTACTACCGGTCAGAAATCCTTGACAGAGACCCCCACTATATTTTAGTGAGTGAGTGAGTGAGTGAGTTAAGATTTAACGTTACATCGGCAGTATTTCAGCCATATCGTGACGAGGACTATATTTCAGAAAAGATTGTTGGTACACAGGAAAAGATGGATCTCTTTATCCCGTTATTGGCCACCTCGCCATTTGGAGAGGGACATTCATTCACGGGGGACAGCTAAGAGTAATGCCGTTTTTCGCGTAGTTTACATATATATGCAAAGGGCTTTTGCCGAACTCGAGGTTTTACAATTTCAACCAAAACCGATGACTGTTTTATCTAACGTATGAACCATCGAATGAAAGAAAAACATTGTGAGAACATCGAGTTACCTTATAGTGAAACAAAATACAGTGTGTCGCGATATAAAAGGAATTTGATTAAAGCGTGCAAGAGAAAGACCACACGCAGCATGTACACAACTGAAGTCATAACATGTAAAATTGAACAACCTTTCATCTAATGCCCCGGTGCTTCAGTGGGAAAACAGTGGGTTACAAAACTTAACACGATATGTGAAGATCATGGGAAAAATAATTATGACTTTACCCCAATCAAAAATCAACATTATTTTCAAAACAAAAGGCAAGTTTATAAAAACCTAAGTGTTCCTATACAAAGGTAAAACCTCAAAGCAGGTTGGTAATACTTCAATTGTTAGGTCTCACAATTAAAATGTTAAACCTCCAAGTAGGTCTCACTTGAAAGCAGGACCTCTAACAAGGCTACCATGATAAAGGAAAATACCTACAATACTGTAGGCAAAAGTGGCAGTATTTTTATAATAGGAAAGTGAAAATAAACGTATGAAGCGACAACAATACAGACAGACCTCGCTGAAGTTTGCTTATTGTTCAGATGGCACAATGTCCTTAACCTCTCGAGTATCGCACAATTTTCACTCTAGCTTTCTATTCACATGGTTAATATCACGTAATATCTTATAAGATATTTACTAATCTTTTCAATTTATTGTTTCCAGACTTTGACTTTAACGGAACCATGGAAGCCGAGTTGCCTGGTAACCACACACGAGTACACAAGCTTGTGTTCAACATCACCAGCATATCAAGGGACGAGGAGATAGACTACGCCATGTTGAGATTGTATACACTGGTTCAGCAGGACAGGGACGCTTACGCAGGAATTGACAGGATTGTGTCGGTGCTCCAGGACCGGGGCTTCGAATTGGGCCCTGAGGACAGGTACAAGATATTGTCCTCTCGCCATATCTACGGCCATAATAGCGGGTGGGAAGCGTTTGACGTCACTTCCGCTGTGCGCCTATGGGCTGAGAACATAAGCTGCGTCCAGATTCTTGAGGTTCGCATAGAGAGTGTGTTTAACGCAGTAACGGATGGTGCTATGGATATAGACACTGATCCAAACCATAGGAACGAACCCCTGTTGGTTATTTTCTCAAACAATAATCAGAAACGGAGCCTTCGGGAGAAAGAGCTGCATGAGCTGATAGCACATGAGCTGGACGTTGAAGACGAAGCAGTAGCTACGGAGAGCGTGCATCAGCATAGACACTCTAATTCCACTGGGCAACTGTCTAGGTTTAAGAGAAGCAAGAAGAACCGCAGGAACAGTTGCAGAAGGAGCCTGTTGTACGTCAGCTTCCAGGAGATAAACTGGAACAAGTGGATTATAGCGCCCCCTGGTTACCAGGTAACGATACAGAAACACGCTGTGCAAATACCGTGCTAGGTGAACCATTGCTCCACACATCTGTGTTTATATCTTGCAGTATGTAAGTGGCGATACTCTCGACCTTTCGCCCATCACACCCAGGTGATAAATCATTAGACCATACACACCGTTTTACTGCACTCGACCCCTCTCAGTACCAATTACACATCCCCTTGCAGTGGCAGGAGGCCATATTGGAACCAGTGCACGTGACTATCATGTGACATAACAATAACTTACGGCTGTCGTGAAATGTTCATATTCCGTAAGAGGGGGGTGGGGGAGGGGGTTGGGGGGACATATACGTAAATATCAATCGAACAATAATCGTTCAATCATTTCTGTTTGATATGTTATACGACCTAAATGTATATATGCGGTGTAATCTGGCATTACACGGTTTAAAGTGAATTCCTGCAGTATGTTACTCCATTGTTGTCTGGTATAATGTAATTAGCGGAATAAGGGTGCAGATCCGAGTGAGGTTTACAGCAAGTCCAAGCTAATACCACTTATATTGCGACGTGCATGCACGTGTGTGAGTGTGTGGCTGCTAGTACTGGTCCGGAGTACACTAATGCCGATTTTATAGTGCTAGCCCACTGAGATACCATGTCGCGGTTTCACATGAAAACTCCGGGGATCGAACCTTGACCTTCCGCTCTCCGGGCGGACGCTCTACCACTAGACCACGGAGGCGGTCAGCTACCGATAGCCTTTGATCGAGCCGACAATGACCTGTGGTCTGTCAACAATATATCCGCGCTCGGGGTTTCCACCACTTTGAGCTTACGGTCCTAACATGCCGTCATATTACTATTATTTGAAACCAGTCACAAGATTTAATATATACCAGAAAAGGGATTTTACCATTTTTTCTCCATGGCCACTGCAATATCAGAAACATAAAAAACTGAATAGAAGTACCTTACCCATAATGCAACAGGGCGCACTTTTCATTCTCAGCATATTACAAAGGGAATAACCACAAGAATATGTGACCATCTGTCATTAGTGTGCCATGTCCGTGCGGAAATAGGACATCAACAGTTTGTGGGCGAGACACTTATGATAAAGGGGGATAATCTTCAGGGAGGTAACTCTTGTAAGGCAAAGTTGTTATGGTCACTGCAATGAAAGTATATATTTTCTCAACTTCAGAAAACGCAGTCTGTCTCATTGAAGTATATAATAAAATAAAATAACAGATGTATATGATTTTAAATAGTTTTCCTTACTCTCGACCTTTAACTCTCCTGTGGGAATCCTGATAAGATTGGGCTTAGAAAACATAGCGCTACGAGTGTCTTAAGTCTGTGTTAAAGTGTAGGAGTTACTAAAATGAGAATCGTTTGGTCGGGCTCTGTGCCATGATGATGACTGCGGCGTTAAACAACACTCACTCACTCACTGTTTAAAGTATTAGTATGGGTGATCTCGCGCTAAGCGCGCAGAAAGCTATGATCTTGTTTTGTTGGTCCGTCAGCACCATAATTGTGCTTGTGTGTTTCATCAAAGTGGTAAAGGTCCAAGACTTGCATCTTTTCGAGCTTTCCTCCCACATCAAGCTGCCACGTCCGTTTATCGGGTAGCATCCGCTCTGGTTATGATCCTTGGTTTGTCAGCAGCATATTCATGCTCGAGGAAAGTGGAAACGTCTACCACGTCTACCACATTAAGGTGAGACGCCATGATCATCTTCCCGAGGCAAGGGCGTTAACTGACTATAACAGTCCAATTTCCACCCTTTCCGAAGAAGACTGGAATTTCCAGGCTCGATCGTAGTGCCACCAGTGGTTGTTACGCGTTATGTCCCTTCGATGTCCCTCCCATTGACCAATCAGATACCACCTCTCATATCACTTGCATTTGCTTGTGACATAGCCCTGTCAAGTCTTTCGGATAGATAACCAAGATCTTTATGTAATAAAACGGACAAAGCAGGCAAGTCTCGCTATCTGTACTATGAAACCAGCATAAGAAAAACAATCAGAAGAGAAAAATGTGTTGCGTAGTGATAAAATTCAAAGACTGTATGTTAGTCTAGGGCATGCCTGAAATACTGTTCAAAGTCAACTCACTCACTCACTGTGACTGTTGACCTTCTAGCTCCTCACATGCATCTTCGGCTGTATAATCCCTAGGGAGCTGAGAATGCAATCGAGTGCACACTGATCTACTGACCGGCTTAATAATAGCGTAGCGCTTTGAGAGTGGTGTGGGAATATAGCGCAGTATAAATGGCCCATTACTAGTATTACTCTGTTGTCATACCGGCATGTTTGTGTCAGATCCGATCAGGCGTGACTAAACATTTAACCGTGATGCTTTATTTTATTTTTATTTTTTTAGTACCTGTACTGTCCATTTAATACAAGGAACGAGCGGTTAATCGATGTTGGTGCACAACAAAATGTCACGTCAGAACAATGTACCCTTTCATGTGACCATCGGATCGCGATCGCGAAAGTCCGAATGTGTTTTCCATTCATGAATCCTCGAAAAATTTAAACATGAGGCATTCCGAAAGACAGTTACGTGCTGTACGACTGATTTCGTCAAAATCGTCGCTTCAGTGGGATCATTTGAAGAGTGAGTGAGTGAGTGAGTGAGTTGGGTCTAACGCCGCTTTTAACAGTATTCCAGTTATATCGCGGCGTGTCAGATTAATGTGTGAAGAAAGCCCGAAGTGATGCAGGTCTTAGACGTTTACCAGTTCGGTGAAACCCAGGAGCACGGGTATGATGCTGACAAACCTAGAAACATAATCGGGGCGAACCGGGATTCGAACCCACAATCATAGGTTTCTGGCGTGTCCAAGGGACGCAACTCTGCACGGCGAATCGCGGCGCTTTAGACGACTGGGCCACCCGTGCCCCCTCATTTGAAGAGACTTTCTATACCGTGTGAAGTATTGCTATACAACCTCGGCCATCTATTAGACAATCTGTTTTTGTAGATGTAATGTCTAATTTCGATACAAAATCCCACCACCACCCCGTGATATCAAATGGTCGGAACCAAACCACAACTTCCTATGACGGGTAAGTTGCTGACAGCGGCATAACACAATACTCACTCGCTCACTCACTCATTTATTTGTTAAAAATCGTGATATTGTGTCTTGTTCGTTGAAGAGAAGACACCTGATATATCCAAAGTGTTTGCGATCCGCAAGTTCATACTCTCTTGGCCTCACCGGAAGTGAAATACTGACGTTTGTATTCACCATATGTATTATCTATATAAACATTCCTCAGTTCCAAAATAAACACAAGAAGTTAAAAATGTTTAATAACAGGAATAAAGATAAAAGATACATCGTCTATGTTTGATAAAACTGCCTGAGATTTTCCCGAACCAGAATAACCGCTATCGCTTTACATATATTAGAACATACTGATATAACAAGTTAGTAATTGCCAAGACGAGGAATAAATATGCGTATTACCTGACGTTGTTCTCATAAACCCACGTGTCATCTGGCGTGTGTGCCATTCTATCCTGTAAGTGACTCCCTGCTACATGACTTCAATCTCGTCAACCAGCACGTGTGAGGGACGGGGGAAATACGTGTAGCAGGTGGCAGAGAGCGGTACTGAGATGATATACTGTCCCCGTGCCATTGATTCGACGGATAGCGCTACAACGTCAGATAACCAGTTATATTCGTCTAGACACAATCGTGACATTATTCTAAGCAGTTTGTAATATAATCCTAGTGTAACAACTTGAATGGACGAGCAACATATTTCAAATAAGTGTGGGAGTTTATTGGATAAGATAGAAATATATATATTTCTAAACAAACATAACAGTTTTGTTTGAATGGAAATGAGAATATATATAGTGGAAGACCAAGAGTTTAAATCATCAGTTGTATTTATTGTCTTTCCTGTTAACCGATCAGCCATTATGGCCGCCCTCCACTCCGCTCTTTTCGCCGTCTGTTTAGAACAACCTCCTGTTTCGTTCAACCAAATGTTTATGAATGACATTCTTGCAGAATACCAGCACCTGTGTTATCGTAGCCTTTACCAGGAGTAATGAAGACCCGTATCGGAGAACTGCTTTATAACCGCGTTCCCCTCGTAGTTTGGATAACAGGTTTTGTTTGTAATGACCTACCCAGATGCTTGGAAAGGCCACGTAAATCCAGGCAGATAGCGGGTCATAAACACAGCGTGACCTTTGTATCTTGACAGCTTCACGTCCAGACGAACACGAGCATTGTGGGTAATGTTAGTAGGTCAGTGTGCTGGGACGAACTGTAATACTATTAATATACAGTGAAACCTCGTTAGACCGGACCCCGCTAATCCGGCCATCCCGTGTGTATATATATATAAAGAAGTATAACACCGTTCAAATGATTGGTTAATCCGGGGATTTGATAATCTTTCACCATGGACGGCTCCGTCCGGATTAACAAGGTTACACTGTACTACCAAACAAGCTTTACTCGCCACCGATTGATACACGTAAACACAGCATGCAGGAGGCTGCCCCGTGGGTCAAATACAATCCTGAATTCTTTTGACTGTGTATATAATTAAATTGCAATCGATTCTGTGGCATTGAATGGGCTAACAAGGCAACTATTAATGCATTAATGTTTCCATAATCATTGAAACATATAGGCCACGCCCACTAGCAGAGTGGCAAACTCCCGATTGGCTCATTATAGAGTGGGTGGGGATTTTGTTGTATTATTGCCCTGAACGATGACACTGATTTGGTGTCGTTGTTTCCAGTTCGTTTGTGTAACTGATTTAATTAGCAGTCTGTGAAAGTATTATTGTTGAGACATGTATATATTTTTAGGAAATGTCTACAATTTAGTTTTTTTCAAACCTAACACCGATGTGTACACTGAAATCAATTCTTCCAAGTTACTTTATTGTAGGTTGTGGAATTATTTGAGTGAGCGAGTGAGTTGTGTTTGACGCCGTTTTGAACAGTATTCCAGTCATATCACGGCGTGTCAGCTAAATGTGGGAGGAAAGCCGAAGTGATGCAGGTCTTAGACGTTTACCACTTCCGTGAAACCCACGAGCACGGGTATGGTGCTGTCACACCTAGAAACATAATAGGGCCGAACCTGGATTCGAACCCATAGGTTTCTGGCGCGCCAAAGGGACGCAACTCTGCACAGCGAATCGCGGCGCCTTAGACGACTGGGCCAACCGTGCCCTCTGAATTATTTGATATCAAATGAGGTTGAAATAATGTTTGTGAATGTATCCTTTAGGAGGAGTACTGTTCCTTTATGAGTGATCACACTGATGTAACTTTTACTTCGCAGCATAAATTGACCCAGCGTCTTCTTGAATATTACACCTACTGAAATATCCCATGGTAACGCAGTAGCTTCACATGTTTTTCAACTGATATATTTCCCCATTGCAAATGCACGCAGTACGTTGATTGAGTTCGTGTACCTTTTAGACCAATCAAAGAAAGTCACCAGCTGACCGCCTTCTAGACAACCAATCATCTTTTAGAATATCTTCATCTGGATATTTGTATATGTAGATATGTCTTTATCAACACGCTTAAAACAATCAATGAAGTTTAAGTCGTTTAGGGCCACGTGAAGTGAAAATGACCTGTTAGTGTAACATGGAGTGGTCAAACATGCTAAAACATGTCTTTATCATAAACTCGATGCTCATGATGTCAATCATTGGACTGTCTGTTCAAGACTCGATTATTTGCAGACCGCCGTCATATAGCTGGAATATTGCTGAGTGCGGCCTTAAACAATAAACAAACTAACTTTATCAAAGACGCGAAGAACGTAATGCAAATGCATCTCTTATATTACCAGAACAGTTCGTCAGAGCTGACAAACTGAACGAACACAAAATAAAACGTTTAATCATCCTCACACATTAAAGTTAGGGACTGAGGAAGGGGAGGGGCAAGCAAATAATAAAAACGGAGGCAATATTATCTTTATGTTATTTTCAAGAAGAAAGTGTTTTCTTTCACTCGAATCACAGGCCAGGGATACAAAATAACATTAAAACTCACTTTGGTGATACATTCTTGTCATGGCCCCAAATTCATGCATCTCAAAAATATTAAATCAATCCCTTAGCGATCCGTGAAGACTCGGGGTAGAATAGGTCTTCAGCAACCCATACTTGCCGTACCAGGCGACTTTGCTTGCCGTAAGAGGCGACTAACGGGATCGAGTGGTCAGACTCGCTGACTTGGTTGATGAATGTCATCGATGCCGATTGCGTGGATCGGTGCTCATGATATCAATCACTGGACTGTCTCGTCCAGACTCGATTATTTACAGACCGCCGTCATATAGCTGGAATATTGCTGAGCGCGGCGTTAAACAACAAACAAACAAATCAAGCCATCAGCCATGTCTTGGCTGTGCCAGAAACCCATGACCTTGAGGTTGTTATCCCAGTTTCGAGATGTGACAGGACCATACCCGACCCGTGAAGATCCGGGGTAGAATAGGTCTTCAGCAACCCATACTTTTCGAAAGAGGCGACTACGCTTGTTGTAAGAGGCGACTAACGGGATCGGGTGGTCAGGCTCGCTGACGTGGTTGATGCATGTCATCGTATCCCAATTGCGTTGATCGATGCTCTGGTCCAGACTCTATTATTTACAGTCCGCCGTCAGAGAAGCTGGAATATTGCTGAGTGCGGCGTTAAACAACAAACAAACAGCACCATACCCGTGGGTTTCACCATAGTGGTAAACGACTAGGACCTGCCTCACTTTACGCTTTCCTCCAACATCACACTGACATGACTGAAATACTATCAAAAGCAGTTAAACAAAACCCATACGCTCGCTCGCTACCATTAAGTTTCTCCACCGTCCCGAGGGGCGGTCGGGTAGCCTAGTGGTTAAAGCGTTCGCTCGTCACGCCGAAGACCCGGGTTCGATTCCCGATATGGGTACAATGTGTGAAGCCCATTTCTGGTGTCCCCCGCCGTGATATTGCTGGAATATTGCTTAAAGCGGCGTAAAACCATGTTCACTCACTCACTCCACCGTCCCGACAAGCGTTATTAATATTGTAAAGGTGAATATTATCGTTAAGTGTTTAATCATTGTTTTTGCTCCTGAAACGTTGTTTTGTGGGGTCTGACATTATATGACTGTCTGTTTCAGGCATTCGAGTGCGTGGGGAAGTGCTACTACCCCCTCAGCGACCACCTCACCCCTACCAAACATGCCGTCATTCAGACCCTGTTCCACAACTCTCGTCCCAAGGCGGTGGCACGTGCGTGTTGTGTCCCCACCAAACTCAACCCCATCTCCATCCTGTACGTCGACGAGAACAACGTCATCACCTACAAATTCAAATACGAGGGCATGCAGGTGGCAGAGTGCGGCTGTCGTTGACGTCGTCGCCTTTCGGTGACGTCCAGGAACAATGGGTCTTTATGGATGAAGTCCAGGTCTTCCCCAACAGAAGTTGGTTCGTGTCTCAAGGAAGGGTTATCAATATAGAACTAAACAGGCTCTTTGACCTTGTGGAGGACGTCTATTCAGTGCGATGACATGTCTGATGTTGCTTAAGAGAAAGGGGCTACCCTACGGGTACTATTATCGTTTATTGTGTTTTTCTCATGGTGAAACTGCACCAAAAGATATGTTAACCGACTTGTATTCCCGTTCTGGTGGCATGGTGACTCACGGCTCGCCAACGTGTGACTTCCTGCATGGAGCGCGCGACTGGAACAACCCGTGACTACATCGTCAGTGACTGATAGCGGAACTTGATAATCAACGTGGAACAAACGTGCACATGAAGACGTACAGGCAGAGACTCGCCTCTGTGTATGGAGTCTGCTTGTCGTGCCGATCTGTGCATGTTCATTCCAGAGCGCGTCTTCCCGCTGAACCGTTCCAAGGTCACCTCGTGGTTGGGAAAACGCCCTGGGGTCTCAGCAGAAGATGCCCAACACTCTCGCTGGAGGCTCGAAGGCTACACAAGGCGAGATAGGACGCCGAATTATATGCATGAGACACCTTCTGGAATATTACGCGCCAACCACAGTGGTGCTGTTTAGACCAGAGTTTGCAAGTTTAACCAGGGCTTTTGTTACCTAATATGTATAGCTGTCTGTGTGTACAGTACGGTAGAGCTTTGTTGCTGTGCATATTCCGACGCTCGCTGGCTATTTGTTATCATGTAGTTCGCCTGATGTACGATATCTGTGGTTAGAGATAACCTGTACCTTAGAATTGATTGTTTGTTAATGCTGACGATTTGCAATCTGAAACATCCTTATCAGCCACCGTACATACGCCAGGCACGCATCTTCATCAGTGATCTATTCAGTAACCCATAGCTGCTATCAACGGCATTCAAACTGGGTTAGTATGCTGCGGAATCACTTAGGCTACAGTTTTGTTCGGTAAGGTTTAATACAGATTTGAAATAAATAATTAAAGTTCAATTTTCCATAATATTTCAAGCAACGTAGCTCATGGACGTTTGGAGATGTCTGGAGGAATCAACGACGCATCCTTTCAAATACATGCATGCCCGTTACCCCGGGACAAGCAATATGCTCTCTGGACGATTTTGCTGTCCATCTCAGACCTAAAATGTACGTCGTAATATATTGATATTATAGGGAAGAGATAACAACCTTGAGCTTCATCTCTGGGTAGTGAGTTTTGATGCGGGAAAGTATTTTGAGGGTACTAGTCCTTCAGGTCAGCTGTGGACTTAAGGGACCGGGGAAGGGCTATGACTCAGGAAAGTGCCTGTCCTAGCAAGTTAGATTCAAATCGTTCAAACATCACTTTGGTATCTGCGGTGGAGACGCCTAGTGGTAAAAGTGTTCCTCGTCGCGCTTACGGGCCAGGGTTCGGTTCGCCATGTGAGTACAATGTGTGATGCCATTTTTTGGACTCCCTTACGTGATATGCCTGGAATGTTTCTAAAAGCGGCGTAAAACCATAGTCATTCACTCGTTTACTATCGCCTCCAGTTTTATTATTATGTGCATCAATCTAACAGTTCATTTTCATATACCCACAGGTACTGCTCTTTCCTCTAAAAGTGTTATTTCCTCCTTCAAAATACCAGGTAGGGATCTTGACGTAGGGCCAGAGATGAAAGAGCAAATGATCCGATTTCTTCGAGAGATCTTTTACTGGAACACAGCCAAAATATTTGTGAACGGTGCCTAAACACAGCTGTTAATAAGTTACATAATTCATACTGAGGGAATTTCACCAATAGAGGCTTGTGTGGCAGGGCATATTTTCCGACACCTACTGCGATACACTTTCATTCACACCAGGACTGTTGTCCTTGGAGGTTAACGTGTCGCTGTAGTGATGGATCTGTCTACTTGAAAGTGACCAGGGGTGTCTACCTGATAGAGTGAAACGACAAACATGTGTCTCGTCTCGACAAAGATGAAGAGTCCAGGCCAAGACCACATGCTGATATTAAGTACCTCTGTATATCCAAACCTACGTTTGGGTCCCTCAACAAAAATAACTTGTTTTATAAATTTTGTGACGTTAGATGTTTAGAATTTCCTTTTATGTTGCTTCTGTTTATCTAAACATACGTTTTGGCCTACCAACTAAGAAATTTTGTTTTATAAGAATGTACAAATTTCCTGCTTATTCTGTACTTACCGCAACACAAGTATCTGGCAACAAAACCTTCTTATTCTGTTTCGGCGGATAATCTAAACTGGTTATTTGTTTTTTACAATTTATCTTTTTATCTAATATGCAAGTCGTGAGAGAATACATTGAAACTGTTATGACGTCCGTTGCTCTTGTGCCTCCCTCTGTTATATCGTCCTTGCATTTAACGTTACAAAATAGTCACCATAATATTTGAAGCGAACGTAAAAGGTGGTAGTCGGGCATCCAACTGACCAGTCGTGTCCCTGGTTTGCTGCCCTGTCAAAGTCGTCTCTTCATGTTTGCATAATTTATTTTTTTTAAACATATCTGTGCATTAACTATGAACTATTTTGTCTCTTTCATCAAATATTTCATGTCTTCCTTGTGTCTTCGAGGGGCAAACCGGAGAAGTGGTCACTTCGTTTTAAGACAAGAACTGAGAGGAGTGATTTGGGTTTAAGGTCACTTAAATAGTATTTCAGCTATATCATGGTGGGTTGGCTTGATGTCGGAAGAAAAATCCAAAGTAACACAGGTCTTGGACGATAACCACTTTGGTGAAAGCCTACAAACCTCGAAGGGCGAACCGAAACGATCATCGATTTCTGGCACGCTTAGGGAATCAACTGCATAGCTTATTCCGGCGTCTTTGACGACTGGGACCCCGGTGCCCGCGTGCCGTGATAAGTGCAGCTAATTGTCATGTGTAGCAAAATAAACGACGTATATGCAGAACGGCCTGATATAATTACAGACTACTGTATATACTATGTGTTGTAGTACTGGACGCTATACCTCATGTGGGTGTGTGCTCATAGTGGAAATGGTGTGCTATGATTACAATGTAAATTTAGAGAAACAACTAAATAAAGCCATATGTGTTTTTTTCCCACTTCATGTATTGTTTTTCTTATCATAAAACTGAAATTATTGCCGTATGTGATTTCCCAAGTGGTTTTCATGTGATGCATGGTGAGTCATGTGATAGTCCTATCTAGTGACCTTGAATTTCAGTGAAGTTCAAGTATGGCATCAATGGCCAATGTGAGGCCACAAACTTGCCACCCATGCCGAGCAACACATGACCATCCCACCAACATGACATTGTAAGTGTAATATTTACCACACAGGTAACACACCATTACAACACCAGCACAAATATGGTGCAGTGACTAAGGATAATTGCATAGGCGGGTCTAGAGGGGTGGCGCTGGTGTTTCAGACCACTGAACCTGGTGTCATCTTTTCGTCCAAGTGAGTGTGCAGTGAAGACAGCCAATGGCGACCAGTTCACAGTCTTATTGATGCATATGTTGGATATGTTGGAAGACTACACAAGAGCTTCTCCAGCCATGCTTCTCCAGCCATGCTAACCTAGGTGGTGGTGATTGTATCAGTGACTTTGTGACCTGAGTGAGTGAGTGAGTGAGTATGGTTTTACGCCGCTTTTAGCAATATTCCAGCAATATCACGGCGGGGGACACCAGAAATGGGCTTCGCACATTGTACCCATGTCGGGAATCGAACCCGGGTCTTCTGCGTGACGAGCGCACGCTTTAACCACTAGGCTACCCGACCGCCCCCTTTGTGACCTGAAGTCGCATGTTTGGTGGACTCAACTTGACTAACTTGTTGAGGCACAAAAAAAACTCAATCACTTAGCTAACATGAAAAATTCATTTCCGACAGAGGTTTATAATATCTACAACGACAGCTGAGGCAATTGTCTTCAAACGCCAAAGCTCTTACCATGGTTACAGCTCTGTTCAAAACCATTTGAAAAATAGAGAAAAATGTCTGCTCATCAGACATAAATGTTGCACTTTACTGTAAGTTTGAGCTGTGAGATTTTGGATAAATGGGACTTAAGTTTCTACTGATGGTCTTATGTATAACTGAGCATGCTGATAGACTGTAGATTTCCATAAAAGGTAAATATGATTATCTGACAATTCCACAAATATCAAAACAAGGAATATGGTACATGTACATGATGAAACCGCAATGTTACAAAACATACAGACACTCGGCAACAATAGGCTGATTCATGTCCACTTCAGCACCAAATTGTTGTCACTAGGGTTGACAATCTCTTCACAATGGTTCCATAAAAATAGTCATTCAAATAAATAGGGACCTAGCACTGAACAGTGTGTACCATTTTGCATAGAAAATAGTAGACAGTTGTGCAATTTAATATTACAAACGTTTCACAAATACGTTACTCCATTCCCAAAGCATACACTTCAAGGGAGACAACTCCTACGGACCCCCCCCAAAAAAGCAAAAGTTTTGACTACGGTGGATTTATCACATTCATCAAAGCAAGGACACTACTCAATCGCCAATCACTGATTATACTATCACATTTTAATACAATATAAATTTAAATTAAAGACAAAACAGGGAGCAAGCAAGAGTGACTAGACATGAAGGGCATCTACTTAGCAAACTGATGACAACATAAGACGAAGAAGCGTTCCTAGTAATATGTACTTCACCCAGGTCATTCTCACACCATCTCAGATTTCAAGGCTTCCATACAGCTCACTCATAACAAGAATATAACATGTACAATATCACAAACAAATTGTCACACAAACCAATATACAAATACAGCTGAATGTAGCACACATTTTCAAAGAGACTTTCTGTACCATGTATACAAAGTAAAACACCTATAACGATGTCCAAGTGCAGTGTTAATCTCCTTAATCATCAGTTGGGGTGTCACCATACACGGCGTTGTATGGTACTCACCTTGAAAGCATACATTCAAATGTTTACTATCAAATGTTCTATTGGGCCAGTTTGGAGTTTTAGCATGTTCAGGAAGTGAATGAGGTGAACTTCAGCAATATTTCAGCCGTATCATGATGGGACAGCAATATTTGGCTTCATACACTGAACCCAAGTGAGGAAACGCACCCAGCTATGAAGGGAGACTTTGCTACATTGCCAGATGACCATTCTCAACCTATAATAATAATAATAGTAATAATAATAATAATAATAATAATAATCCACTCAATACAGTACATTATTATTACCCCAGTCAATGGATCAGTGTGCACTCGAGTTTTCATTCTCAGCTAACTGGGAAGAATACAACACAAGGTTTACAGTCACATGACCATCTTATCCTACTGGGTACCCATTTACTGCTGGGTGAACAGAGGCATATTTCAAACAAAGTCACTTGTCGAAGGAGACACATGTGCTTCAGTGTGGCGCAGGACCGAAGCCATAGAAACTCTCAGGACAAACACGGTTGCCCAGCTAAAGAGTCTCCATGACCGATGTTTTTAAACTTTACCCAATTTGTGACCTGTGTGCCGCACACAGGACCACGTCCCACCAAGTACCTAGCTACAGCTATTGGAATTAGTGTCAATTGTGAAACAGAGACATGATCAGTTTAGGTCAGATTGGTATGTCATAAAACTAGCTGACAAAGGGGTGTTTGCGGAATTTAAATTTGCTGGCACTGCCAACAAATTAGCCTGATCCAAGTCTCACTCCAACCAAATTGTCAATTTTGCCTTCTGTTAAATGTAACCCGACAGCAAGGAAAATCTCAGGTTTTATGGGCATGCTCATGTTCTCAATACAATATCCAACTTGGCATGGCTAGTTTCAGCTTGAAGTGCATTGGTCTAATTTCTCCATGTTTCTTGCCAAATAATCTTGCCACATTAGTTCATATCAACATAATGGAATATATTCAAATGTTACCATGGCCACAGTAAATGAATATGGGTTAACACCAGTCTCAGCAGCTGGACAGTGAAGGGACACAAGGAATAGACCTCACACACTGATGGGGCAGGCTCAACCGACCCTACATGCTACTTTGGTTATAGTCTTCTTGCATAAATATACTCATTACGAAGCAAGTGAGTGAGTGAGTATGGTTTTACGCCGCATTTAGCAATATTCCAGCAATATCACGTCGGGGGACACCAGAAATTGGCTTCACACATAGTACCCATGTCGGGAATTGAACCTGAGTCTTCGGCGTGACAAGCAAACGCTTTAACCACTAGGACACCCGACCGCCCCTACAACGCAAAACATGTCCAGTGAGACATGCTGGCTCTGTGTACATGATGCAGTCACACCATGGTGACTTATGACAACCCTTACATGCCAAACGGTCGGAATGATTTATGGACAAGAAGCACGAATCTGTCCACTGCCACACTGAAGCTGCTGAGTGAGCGGAGACACTACAATAGAGGAGAATGCAGCTAAGGCCTTGTGTATTCGTTAAAACAGTTTGTGCAAAAAACATCTTTTTTAATTTGCTCTCAGCATCACATCTGATGTTATGTTATCACATGGACTATTATTCTCTAAGCTTCACAGATTGTCCCAGTAGCTAAAAGCGACAGACAGTTACTTGATACTGACCTTGTCAAGCTTACAGGTCTGAGTGAGTGAGTAAAAATGTTTTACTCCGCTTTTAGCAATAATCCATCAAAATCCCGGCAGGGGACACCAGAAATGGGCTTCACACACAGTACCTAGGTGGGAAACTGAACTTACAGGTCTGAAGCAGGGCCAAAAAAACTTTGCATCTGAAATTTTCACTGAATATTAGTCTTGGCATGTAGACTATTAATAGCTGAGTTTACTAGACAAAAAGGAATTGTACCAGAGACAGACTACAGACTAGCGGCTGAAGGGCAGATAAGCTGCATCAGTTTTGCTAATGATGGCCAACTGGGACCCCTTACAAATTTGCCTTGACATTAACATTGAACCTTTCTTTAGGTTGTCATCATGTTCACAGTAACAACAAATTTTTATCTTCATTTGGAACACGTCCCATTTAAGTGTTTCAGAGCAGTTGTTCATGAGCAAAGTTAACGAAAGACAACAAGCCATGACAAGCATCTACAGCGCATTTTGATCAGGTGAGCTACAATAATTTCATATTAACAGGATGAAAGCTAAAGAAAACATATATTACGAATCAAGACAATAAAGGCAGCAATTTCTACATTATTCTGGATGTATCGTCAAGCAATAGGATATACCTGTTCACATGATAAACTAGAAAGGAACTGAAGGGAAACACACAATCAACTGCTTCTAGATCCCTCACTACTTTACATCCCCACAGGGGAAATCCTTTAAGGTTTTGAACTGCCTTCTGAGACATAGAAAAAACCTCCTTCCAAACTTGGCAAGTTCTACAACATGAAGACATGATACACTCATTTCGGATCCTAATCTCTGGTTTTAACAAAACCTGTCAGCTCTAAGATTATACAACTGCAATAGGACAGTGCAATTATAAAAATGCTGAAACAGCAATAACCATGATTCATCTGTAGAAATATCCAGATTTCATTTTACTGAGGTCAGCAGCCATTGAAAAGGATCCTGCCTTTTCCTTCATATTTATATTTCCCAAACTGAGCCTTAGAACTTAGAATAAGCTGACCTGTCATATTTGCACAAGTGAATTTGACAATAACAAACAAGGTGAGGAAATATGGACGCTCTGTCACGGATTAAGTTCTTGGTTCTGGCTTTATTTGTGAGAGAGAAATAACCCAGAATTAAGAGTTTGGTTGTTCTTACTACGTAATTGGAAATTTAATTCAGCTTATTAACATCAATCTGCAGGTCAAAATTGGTAGGCCATTGATGTTGATGATCAGAGATTTACAACGCTTATGTAAGTCAAGATCCTAGGGCAGCAGATCAAATAACCCTTAATCAGGTCCATTCAGCCACAGAGAGCAACAGCCAATCAAATGTGTGCAAAACAGGCTATTCCCCCTGAGCATTTACACTTCAATTCATACCCTCACATTTCACTGCCACTTGGCATTCCTGGGTATAGGAAAAACATATCTATTTGCTTTTATATTCCGCTATCATTGAGATTATTCATAACTCCAATTTAATATTCATTTCTTGCATGCACATGATAACATTTAGCTGCGAATTTATTCCTCAAGACATCCTCCATTATCCAGTGCATTACATGTCAATTCTATTTTGATAAATATGCTGGGTCCATTCACTTCAAAATTGGAAATGTCGCTCAATTGTTACTTTCTCTATTAAACTTAACACAGAATTTCTCACTTGTAACAGTGAGTTAACTGGACAGCTATTTTTAGCATCATTAGTAGACTCCGACTCAAAGAGCTAAAGTAGCAAATGGTTCCAGGGTATTTATCGTATTATACTACTCAAAAACGTCACCCAATAGTTTGATATTACTATAGTTAATCTGTCATGGCAAGACAGATTTAACTATATTAACATGAAAGCATCGGGTGATCCTAAACTTCTTTTGAGTAGTATAGAATGGAAACAATACAGTGGATATCAAGTCTGTTCTACTATACTGCTACAATCTGTTGAAATCAGTTCTGTTGTGTAAACCTCTCATGCGCACACACATGCTGACAGTATCGGACGATGATGGTGAACCAACGATGAGAGGATGAAGGCAATGACAGTGAAAGCTAAGAGGCCACCAGTGGGACGTTGGGTATGAGCATGGTCTGATGAACACAAGTTGTCGTGTTAAGTGAGACAAGAGTAAAGGCCTTATGGTGAAATTGGGGGGCTTCCATTAAAGGTCACATTATCAGTTTTCTCCAATCACCAACATTCCTGATATTGATAAACAGTTTGAGCCCACATTCATACAGTCATGGTAAATTTCTTCTGCTATAAAGAATTTGAAGAAGTGAATAATTTCTCGAGAAGAAAACATTAGCTTACATAACCAACACATGACCATTTCCCGACCAACCAGACAGTAACACAGTTATATCACTATTACTACACAGAAGCACTCGTATAATCACAGAACATCGAACATCAGTCGGTCATAACATTTTGATTCTGACGATCATTCTCAAACTCAACAAAATCATCAAACAGGCTTGGCCATGCCTCTGTGTCGTCATAGGTGGTCAAATCCTCGCCCACGTGCTCAGTGAAGTTCAAGAACATGTCCCACGTATCTCTTGGAATGCCTCGAATATTCTGATGTTTGGAGAGGAATTCAAGCCAATGTTCGAGAAGCAGTGGCTCGTGCTGAGAGAACACCAGTTTCCACAAGCTCATGGCCATCTCAGTCTGCAAAGTCCTCTGGCCTGTGTCAGAATCAAGGCCGAATTTGTACGTCCAGCGATAAAGGTCCTTGAAGGCCTGCTTGTTCTCTACTTCCGAAAGAAGTTCTGGGAACTTGGACCGAATGCTCTTCAGGGAGTCACATTTGAGATTCCTACAACCATTAATAAATTCATCGCGGGTAAAACGACACATTTGATCAGCCTGGAACTTCCAAGCAATGACAAGGACAATATATTCTTCTGGTTTCACATCAAGATCTTCACAGAACTTCTCCACACCCTCTGCCAAAATGATGTCATCATCATCTGAATCTTTGTACATGTCAAACATGGCTATAACTTTAGATTCTTGAAAATCCTTAGAAATGAGTGACAATCGTTTACTTTCACCATTACTTTGTTTTTTAATTGGAGGGAGTTTTGGGTATTGCGTGAACATTTTCTTGTCTGATGGCGCTATAAGCGGTCGACCGGTTCCGTAGTTTGTGTCTGTGACTGCTGCTGCACGTTTCAGCTCTTTCGACTCGGAGACAAATCCTGTGGATGACCTGGACTGTGACGATGAGATGGCGCGTGGGTCAGCGAACTGGGCATCAGGACCGGGCTGTCCTGGAGCCTCACAGCATGACAGACATTTCCCCATTTGATAGGCCACTCACACCTGCACAGGCGGTTAGCATAGGCCTGCAACATGAACAAAACATGGTAAGTCTACATCACATTCATTTCCCAATTTCATAGGCCACTCACACCTGCACAGACCACAGCAGTTCCAATAAATGCCCAAATTGCAAATTGGGAGAAAAGTTTGATTTGTAAAAAATATGGAAATATTGTACGTCCCAATTTTAGCATTCCAGACCGAATCATGATAACGCAAAGTACTCTCTTTGTCACGTTTATTGGCAATGCGATCACTGAATATCAGTCGCCTTAGCAACACAAAAAACTTGATTGTTTTATGCCAATATCTGAATTAATCTAACATTTGCCAAAGACTGGGGTTGAAATATTGGCCCCTGAGAACATGCAGAAGTCCTTTATACCAGCATTCATTATCAACATTCTTAATGTCACATGTAAGCATGGCAAGGTATGAGCCCTGTTCAGCTGTACTCCCCTGACCAGCTTATTACCGGTTTGTTTTGCATTTACGGTCACAAGGAAAAAAATGGTGGTTGTCATGAAAACAGAATCAATACTTATACAGCATGCACTGAAGCCAGCAGTGCATCACGGATATCACAGACCGATCTAATTAGGTTGGAACATATCTATCAATTAGGAATAACAATGGATTGATCACCATGATAACCTGATAATACTTCTGGTGCTGACACTGATCACGCTGTGAACATTCCATGTTTAATTAATAAACAAAAATATAACAGGACTTCCTTCTTCACTAGCATTTTTCTGTTCAGTTTTTCTGTTTAAAGTGCAGGATGTTTACTATTTTCACAGTAACCATGGCAACATGTATCTGTATTTACTTCTCTTCATGTTTGCAGTTGCCAAGAGACTACATCCTTTCAATATAGAATGCATATGATCAATTACTACTTAAAATGTTATTGGTGACTTTATTTTTTATATTTTCATAGTTGAGGTTTATTTTATTGTGTCTCATCCATCAAATCTGTCAAAGATTGAGCAGTCAGACAAATAATAACACCAAAAATAAATGTAAACACTTTTACAGATTTTTTAGCTCTGGTCCGTCAAATCCGTAAAACCAAAACATATGAAGTGTGAAGTAGCTCAGTCATCATTCTCATACTCTGTGGGCTATGACACATACTGACAAAACAGAGATGTTTAATGTGTTGTGTTTAAAGAACAATGTACATCTCCCCTGCCAAAACAATATACCAATAGCTCTTTATAATCAAGATACTGATGACAGTATTACAACAGCCATCAGATATGTCAGTGGACAAGGTGGAAGTCATCTTCCCGAGGCAAGGGATTTAACTGACTTTAAAAGTCCAGTTTCCACCCTTGCTGAACTTGGCTGGAATTCCTGTGCTCGATTCCTGGCCACCAGTGGCTATTACCAGTTATGTCCCTTCTAAGCATCTCCTATGGACCAATCAGATTCCACCTCTCGTATCACTTGCATTTGCTTCAAACAACATGACGGCGCCAAGTCAGGATGATCTGCTCGATAATCAAGATAGATCTATATTGTGATAAAACAGGTCTTACATCGCGAAATGCATCAAATCACATGAGCACCTTGATTAAAAAACATGAAAAGATTTTGAATATATCTGTTGAGAATGAGTTGGCGGTGCACATGCTTTGCAAATCCTGCAAATCTGCATGACAGTTTACGAACAGGATTTCGATTTCATTTCACTATTTTGATTGGACTATGCATAGACACGTTAGTCCAGCCAAATTGTAACTCCATAATACCAGCCTAGTTCGACAAGGGTGGAAACTGGACTTTTATAGCCAGTTAACTCACTTGCCTCGGGAAGATGGGTGGAAGAGTGAGTGGGTAACAAAATCAACCATCATCAGGGCTTTACCTGACGCAATACATTACATCATTGATTCATTATCACACACAACATGTAACTGGAGGCAATTAATCTACACTGCAACCTAAGGAAACGTAAAAGAAAAGTATGGCTGTTTGGCAAGTAACCCTCTCAAAGTTCAGACTCAATCTGATATTGAAATCCCCATCTCTAACCATGCTAACTACAGGATACAGGCTTCTGTGTAATGACATTAGGAAATTCTTGGAAATCAAGTGAAGCATGCCACACAACGTCTCCCTGGGACTCTGTGTTCATTCCTTGGAACCCATAGACCCGAAAAAGAGACAGGCAGGTAAATCAAAGTGATTTTGTACCTAAACATGCTACCACCAATAAAGTTAGCAAATTCTGCATTCTGTATCAAAAACTTTAATATCTACAACAGGCTCTGTATAGTGATCAGTGTTTACTGACACTAATCCCCAATTCAGTCTTTCAGCAGCATTTTCACTAGATTTTGGTGTCACTATATATATATATATATCCTTACCATTTGCTTAAGTACAGAGATGTAAATTAGCACTCGCCCACAAAAGTTCTGTTAATGTTAAAGGTACCCAAAGCACTAATAGAATTTCAAATATTTTTGGGAGGCATCACCATATCTTATGACTATTTAGGTTGATTTTAAACCTAGCCCCAAATTAAACATGTCAGAAGAGAGAAACCATTAGAATTATGATCAATTTTTTGATCTTGCAAGGTGCATTGGCTTAAATGACCAAACATTAAAGAAATTATCACAAACACCACATAGTACTGTCACGCCATGAGTACTGTCATTCAAAATATCCATGTTAATTCATCAGAACTAAATCCAACATATAAGTTAATCAAAGCCTGTTTTGGTCATGTAATTACTTCTCTGATAACTAGTGTAGGATTATTGAGAGTTAGAACTAAACACATAAGCTCTACTACTAGTACTAGCCTGGGTAAAGATAAAATGACCTTGTAATGTCAAGAAATGGGGAAACTGGGAAACTTTGTACTACCCTAGGCTAGCCAGCTTGTGTCAAGTTCTAACCCTGACTTAATGTGTGAAAGAAAAATCATCAAACTTAAAAGAGGGTGAGTGAGGCATAAGGCCACTTGAACAGTGTTTCAGTTATATCCCCGAGTGTTGGCTAGATGTTGGGGGTTGGTGGGTCCAGACATATTAAAAGCATGAGCAACAATCCACATAATCGGGGTACAATTACATACAACAGTGTTTCAGTTATATCCCCGAGTGTTGGCTAGATGTTGGGGGTTGGTGGGTCCAGACATATTGAAAGCATGAGCAACAATCCACATAATCGGGGTACAATTACATACAACAGTGTTTCAGTTATATCCCCGAGTGTTGGCTAGATGTTGGGGGTTGGTGGGTCCAGACATATTGAAAGCATGAGCAACAATCCACATAATCGGGGTACAATGACATACAAAAGTTTTCCCGCTGGCTTTTGAAACTGACAGTCCTGGTGGACTGTCAACTCCAAAAATTACCAGTTCTTCCTGATTTTTGTTAGTCCCAACTTACAATAAATAAAAAACATATGAAAATTACCTGGTTTTAATTCCTTCAACATCATGTTCAATGCAATGACGTCATCTCTGCAGTAACATAGTTAGATCTACACATCATTCACACAAAGTTCAGTCACAGTATTTTCTCTCTTATTTTTGAATATTTCGAGACAAAGTCGCTACACATATTTAACCTCGAAGCAAGGCAAAATGTTATTTCCTTCCACTAAAAGTAGACAAGAGGACACCTTGATGGTAACAGATAAGCTGACTTCGTTTGGAAAGATTTGAATATTGCTTATGTTTTGTTCAACAACAAAGATTTTTATAAGGTACTATATTTGCCAGTCCACAGGGACTGACAGTCACACGAATTACCGGTCCAAATCTAATTTTACCGGTTAAAACTTGTAATTACCGGTAAACAGGAACACTGTCCAAGCAGCCATGACCACCCAATCCACCAAGGTCTACTTTTACAAACATGGGAAAACAAATCCTGGGGGCCTATTTTTGGTATCCCATACTTGTCAACACAAGCCTACTAAAGAGAACTGTGTGGCCATCCGTGACATGGCTGATTCATATCTGTCATTGTATACCGATAGAGTGGATGGACATTCAAATATCAGTGCACATGTTTCAAGTCGGATTCACTGGTAGTGAGTTAATGTGACATCCAAACCTAATCTGGACCTGGTTTACAATTGGGATGATCAGGAATAATGGACATCAGCATGATTAGTGTTGTGTGTTACTTATTAATTATGTCATGTTTATGGCTTTGTATATTCTTCTTGATCTTAATCATGATGATAATCAGCAAATTTGCATGTGTAACCATTGGGATTGATAGTCTTATCATGGAAGAAACCACATATCACAGTATTTAGATATATGATCTCAAATCATGCTAATCTGATACATTATCATGATTATGGTTACACACAGGTAAGACGTGATACTAAAACCCCATAAACCATGCAGTTATAAACAGCATAATTATAATCTGTGGCTTGAGTATGAGTACTAGGTACCACTTACTAGAAGTTAGTAAAACCATAGACAATGAGTTAATTTGATTTCTGAGGAGCAGTCGTAAACAAACATCTTTGAAATCTACACAATATTCAAAACAGTTATTCGGCAATGATATACCCCTTCTACACTGCTTTTTTGCTGTAAAACAATCAATAATAATACACAAGAAATTATGGACAGTGATATAATATGGTATTGGCAAGCGTGGCTTATTTGAGCATAACTACAAGCTGATTATTGTCATCATGATTAGTCATAACCTGATTGTATCATGGCATGTCCTGGATTTGGCAGAGATCAATAGAATTAGAAATCCCCGTTCTGTATGCTACAATGACATCAAACACCGTGATCAAACTTGTGTTCCTTGTTTACCACTAATAACAACTTATATCATTACAAACTTAGGCTACATATTATATAAATAGGTGTCTCGTGCATCCTCTAGGCATTTATTGTTCCAAAGACCTTTTGAAAGCTCTTTCAATCTGACTTATGTGGGTAGAGAATATGTAAACAACACGATTGTATCTCCCATACACATTTAGATACAAACCTCTCTCGAAAGATTACCGATCTCAAATGGATGTACATTGAACATGCAGCGTTAGTGAATAGTTACAAAGTCGACGTCGGTTAATCTGTAAGACGAGATAAAGTCAATGCGGAACTATGAACATTACAACGAACCCACTGCAATGAATGCTTCACCACTGTCTGTATTCACTTCGATAAATAGCACCAGTGGGATGTGTTATTGCAACGACTGACAAAGTTCTCACCCAACTTCAGAGACCATGGACGTTCTAGATGCATTAAATTGCATCCCTGGTGGTTTATAATATGTCCATTGAACTCTCGTCGTGTTTTGACATCTCCAAACTCTTCATAACCGATACAAATCTAAATTCCTTCCTTGAAGGACCAACCCTTTCTCCCCGGCCGCCATCTACAAACATGGACGACTTCCTGTTTGACATCGTGACGTCACTGCACGCGTTATGAGTTCATATTCTCTGGAAATATCTTCAAAGCTGTGGTTTTGAATGACATGGTCTCACATGTTGCCTGCTTATCAATAAAATCGTATTTTCATATTGCTATACACATTAAAACTTTTCATTGGGAGCTGAATAAACCACATTCAGATATTAAAAGCCCATGTTTATCCAGTAAACATAAAAGCCTTAATCAATTATGGATAGGACACGTATCGACTTTACAACAGAACATAAATATACTATATTTTAAACCACAAGCTCATTCAGGTTTATATGTTTCATGTATGAAAATATTTTAATACGATATGGTTGTATAGGGGCGATATTGTTTCTGGGGTGTGGTAATTAATACGTTTGTTCCTCCAAACTGTATGACCAGAGATAATCTTTGTTGCCATGAGATGAGGTCTGATTTTGCGTGTTGTCCTCTGCACTCGTTGTCTTCACCTTGAATCTCAGATTATGAGTGTGTGAGTTATGAAGCCGCTTATAGCAATATTCCGTAATATATATATATATATATATATATATATATATATATATATATATATACACACACACGTCCGGGAACACCACACATTGTACCCATTAGGTGATTGAGTATGTTTTTACGCCGCGTTTAGAAATATTCCAGCAAAATCACGGCTTTTAACACTGTACCCATGTGAGGAATCGAACCCGGGTCTTTGGCGTGACGAGCGAACGCTTTAACCACTATACTAATCCACAGTCCCTGTGTACCCATTAAGAAATGAACTCTTTGAAAGTTTGATTTCATCGGAGACGAATGTTGGAATAATTCGTTATAACCGTTTTATTGATATTCATTTAAATAAAAAACTGTCAGTATCGATTTGTGGGTGGTGTCGGTTTATTTCCTAATTATTGACAGACTCCCTTACATTAGTTTGTTTGTTTGTTGTTTAACGCCGAACTCTGCAATATTCCAGCTATATGACGGCGGTTTGTAAATAATGGAGTCTGGACCAGATGATCCAGAGATTGACATGATAAGCATCGATCTGCACAATTTGGATACGATAACATGTATCAACCAAGTCAGCGAGACTGACAACTAACTCCCGTTAATCGCCTCTTATGGGTTGCAGAAGATCAATTCTAACCCTAGTCTCCTTATGTTAAAGGCCCCTCTTTGGGATTCCGGGGAGAATAGGTCTAAGTATGCAATGCTTGTGGTAAGAACCGTCTAATGAGGATTGGGTGTTGGCTGTGTGGACTGTTTCGCGATCAATCACTGTTTTTTTGGCCTAGACTCGGTTGTTTAAAGGCAATATGACAGGGGTAAAAGGAATAGGTGAGTGAGTGAGTGAGTTTGGTTTTACGCCGCTTTTAGCAATATTCCAGCAATATCACGGCGGGGGACACCAGAAATGGGCTTCACACATTGTACCCATGTCGGGATTCGAACCCGGATCTTCAGCGTGACGAGCGAACGCTTTAACCACTAGGCTACCCGACCGCCCCAAAAGGAATAGGATTCACACATGTGGGGATTCGAACGGGGCTACCCGCGAGACGACCGAACGTCATCATTAAGAAATTTCTCCTTGCTTCAATGATGGCTGAGTTCTTCATTACATTGTCAAACACACATACACACACACACACACGCGCGCGCGCGTGCATGCACGTCGCTATATTTGTGCAATGAACTTAAAACCCCAATTCCCCACACCTCACCACCTCACACCTCAATCAACTCACGACACTTTGAATGAAATAAGAATAAACTTTCTGTTACAGTCGCAGATACGTGTGACAAGCTAGCATATTAACACTCTGTTTTCGACAAACAATTACAGACACATGGGTTGCAGGTTTTTGTCTGCCCGCATCCAAGGAGATGGGAATAGTTAAGTACTTATATCTGATGTAATGTCATGTCTTATTCATGTCCGGGCACGGCTGCTTGGTGCAGCTGCCCTCAGGCGGAAAGTTGTATGCCAAGGGCGTGGTTGCTATGGGGGTATTGATCTCGGATGATGGTGGTGTGGCGTGGCGTGGTGTGTGTGTGTGTGTGTGTGTGTGTGTGTGTGTGTGTGTGTGTCCTAGTCCTAACTAATACCGATTTCATAGTGCTACCCAACTGAGGTACTATGCCGCAGTTTAACATGAATACTCCACTCAGACACAGTATACTGACTCCAAGCCCACCTGTCCTTGTTTTTGCCGCTTAAAGCAGAACGCCAGGCAAGGTAACAACAAGTACATTATTTTGGTATGACGCGACCGGGGATCAAACCCCCGACCTTCCGCTCTTCGGACGGCCCAAGGAGGCGGTCGTGAGTTGATTGACATCTGTCCGACAGTCGTCACTAGTCTCCGCTACATTAAACCAAGTATGATATAGTATCCTGAGGAATGAATCCCATTTCTGCTTTTCCGTAGGGGACCATTGTTGTTACGCTTGTTTAATACTGATGACAAGCAATGTCTGTGACACCCACTGGCTGTATCCGACAAGCCCAACGTCCAATGAAACGGAGCACATCTTTAAAACCAATGTGAAGACCCCTTGACTCGATTCCTTACTCCAGTACAGCTCTATCGAGTTATCCGTTACTTCGATACAAGCAGGGTGCCTCTACCCGACCATAGTTACAATAAGGCAGTCTATGGTGCATCTTACCCTGTATTTCGTGTTAAAGGTGTTCGATTAACTAACGGTTTCATCGTCGCGTATCATCGGTAATTCGTTATATTGGCATTTCCTTTCTCAAGGAACTTTTCTCTCCCTCCCTCCTCCTCTCTCTCTCTGTCTCTCTCTCTTTCTCTCTCCCTCTCTCTCTCTCCCTGTCTGTGTGTGTATCTATCTGTCTATATGTGTGTGCCTCTCTCTCTGTGTCTCTGTCTATGTGTGTGTGTCTCTCTCTCTCTCCCTCTCTCTCTGTCTCTATGTGTGTGTCTCTGTCTCTGTGTGTCTCTCTGTGTGTCTCTCTCCCCCTCTCTCTGTGTGTCTGTCTCTCTCTGTGTGTCTCTATGTGTGTGTCTATGTCTGTGTGTCTCTCCCCCCTCTCCCTCTCTGTCTATCTCCCTCTGTGTATGTCTCTCTCTCTCTCTCTCTCTCTCTCTCTCTCTCTCTCTCTCCTGTGAAACAAACCCGCTCTTAATATTAATAACGATAGAGACCCTGCTTACCTTTATCGAGTGCTGGAGTGACCACATTGTAATAGGTCCAGACTCGATTATCTACAGACTGCTGTCAAGAAGCTGGAATATTGCTGAGAGCGGCGTTAAACAACAAACGTAAACCTAAAGCTACGGATTCAAAAATTGCTATTTTGGAATCTAATTTCGACTTGGGTGACTTGTGTTCGGTGTTATTCTCTCTGCGCGAAGCGACACCTATCTGTGGATCGAAGAATGAGTAATAACAAAGCAACACAACAGGGCTGCAGTCAAACTAATATGTGTTTTTGTTACTGAATAATGCATACACGACTTGAAAGGGTGAAGCTATCGGTCAACATCATATGATGTACAATAAATAACTATATAGTATCCAGTCTTTGAATGACATTTAGAAGTGATACACATAAGGAAGAGAATTTATGGATGTCAACCTCTTTATTAGGAGGAACACAACGTTACTTACTCCTTCATCAGGTGAATAAATGCTATGAAGAGAAGAGCATATATATGTACCTGTAAGAACAACGAAAGTAATAAGAGAAAAGGTGGAAACTTAACAAGGAAAGCCAACGCCTAACAGTTAATTAGCGCTGACAGGTGACCGTCGCTATCACCTATAATTGGTGTAAAAAAATGTTTTTTAAACATAAATTCAGAGAAAAAAAAAATATATAGTTCATTTTAGGAATAAATCTGTAACCAAATCAGAGCGGGTTTTCTTCTGCGGTGAATATGTTGTTCAGTATGCTTGTACTTATAAGTATTTAGGATTGATTTTTAATGAACATCTTGATATGCATACAACAGTAAAAGAACTATGTAAAACAGCCAGTAGAGTTCTTGCTGCTTTGTACACACAATTTATTCAGACTGGTGGCAAGTCTGATGATGTTTTTGACAAGCTTTACAAAGCTCTTGTTGAGCCTGTTTTATTTTATGCAGCTGGTATTTGGGGTTTAAATACATACAAAGAGATTGAAGTAGTTCGAAATAAAGCCTGTCGACTATTTCTAGGAGTAAAAAAGAATGTATCCGTTATTGCTATGAGAGGTGATATGGGATGGGGCTCTGTGAAGGTCACACAACGTACTGAATGTTGTGGGTTATATTTTAGACTATATAATATGCCTCATTCGCGTATCTCATATGTCGTTCACAAATGGTCTTCTAAGAAGTCACAGTCCTGGAATAAGATTTCTTAAGGTTTTAACTCATTTTAATGTGGACTTCTTATTGAGATCGGGTTTGAATATGAAACAATGCATCGCTCATGTTAGAAATGTTCTCACTTTTGATGATAACGAAAAATGGCTTGCCGCTGTATGTGATAGCAGAAATAAACCAAACGGACAAATTACGAACTTATAGAACTTATACATGATTTCCTGATGTCGATTTTCATGCCAAGAATGTAAAGTTCAAGGATCATAGAAGGATTTTAGCCTCTTTTAGATGCGGTAATCTACCACTGCATATTGAGACCGGCCGATACTCCGAGCCTCCCACGCCTTTGTCTCAAAGAATATGTAAATATACTCTAATGAACACGATGCCCCCCCCCCCCCCCCCCCCCATTCATATTGAAGATGAATGTCATTTCTTAATCGAATGTAACTTTTATGATGATTTAGGTTTTGATCTTTTACAAGAAGCTTTTGCTATTAACAGAGATTTTTTAAAATTTAAGCAGCTCAGACAAATTTTTATTATGCAAGAGGAATCACTGCAACACATTTTAGCTAAATGTCTATATTATATGTTTAAAAGAAGACATAACTATAAAAGTTAATTATCATTATTAAAATA